GACACTTACTAGCTGTGTGTGTGACCCTGAGCATGCCACTTAACCCTGTTTGCCTCAGTTTCCTCATCTGTAAAATGAGCTGGAGAAGGAAATGGCAAACCATTCCAGCATCTTTGCCAAGAAAACCCTAAATGCGGTCAAAGAGAGTCAGGCATGACTGAAACTACTGACGAGCAAACAGAAAAGGGACAGCATGAGAATCAGAAGATGTGAGTTCAAAGCCTACCTATAACACCTATAGATAGACTAGGGGACCTAGAGTGAGTCACCTATCATGCCTCAATTTCCCTACATGTTTGTTGTTTGTCCTTCATTCTAAGAGGATCAATGACATCAGGAAGGTGATATCTTGACTTGCAAGTGAATTGGATATAAGTGAGGCAGGGCTATGCAAAGTCACCAGTCACATTCTCTTCTCCAGAGTCATCTGAGTCCAGCAGTATGACATAGGTCAGGACGATTGGTGATGGGTCTGGATGCAGTGGGAGGCCTTGGCCTTTTTGAGCAAAGATCTTTCCCAAGTCTCAGTTTGTCTGAGGCAATGCCCATTCAGTAGTTAAAGGGTAGGTAAGAATTAGAGCAAAGAATGGGGCCTAGTTTGGCTTCAAAAAAGAATCAATCCGGGAGGGGAAGATCCTCAGAGTTTCGGTCAGAACAGAAACAATTACTATTTCCACTCATTCTGTGCTATCAAAACCCAAACAATGAGCAAGGAAGCTTGGGCTGGGGCCTGTTACTGGCCAATCGGTGAGAGCTAGACTGATTTGGGTTTACAGGCATAGTCAAGTAGCTCCATTTGAATCATAATGGGCTTTATCAAAGGTTGGTTTTTCAGAGCTATATTTCAAGAAATCATAAATTAAAACTACATGAAATAAAAGAGTTAATTGTCCCAGGTTTTTTTTTTTTTGTCTTTTTTGATGAGCACTCAGGGTTAAGTGACTTGCCCAGGGTCACACAGCTAGTAAGTGTTAAATGTCTGACGCCAGATTTGAACTCAGGTCCTCCTGACTCTGAGGCCAGAGCTCTAACCACTGCATCATCTAGCTGCCCCTCAGTTTGTTTGTTTTTTAATGCTAGAATAGGGCAGGAAAAAAATCTAGTTCCTAATCCCCAAGATCCCTTGTAAAGTATAACCAATCAAAATTTATATTCCTTTGGACTGAACACCCACATGTAAGAGTATGACTCCTACGTTGACAGAGGGAGAAGGGGAAGAGAGGGAGGAGCATGAGTCCATCTGTAAAATGTGACTAATACTATCTCCCTTACAAGTCCTTAGATCAAATGAGTATCACTATGTAAAGTGCTATGTAAGTACTACTATTATATTCCAGATGGATTCACACACCAATTTTTCAGTTACTTGTAAGATGGTAGAGTAGCAACCTGCAGGATGTGGTGCCAAGTTAAAGAATTTTGTGAGATCTCTATGTCTTCAATGTATTTACAAGTCCCTGCCCAGGTAAGTCTGGTAGCTTAAGAACCAGCCCTGGAGACATAGACCTTGGTTCACATCCAGTTTTCAACACATACTAGCTTTGCAAACAAAGGCAAGCCTCTTAATTTATCCAAGTGCCAGGCAAGTCCCTAAGACTTTAACATGGAATCAGGCCCTTCTTATTTTGTTGTACTTCTACAGACCTTGACACTGCTGCAAAGCATTATGGGTACACTAGACATTTTGACCTAAAGGAATAGGAGAAAAGTACTTTCCAATGAGAAACCTTGCTGTCCTCAGTAGAACAATGGGAATGAGTGCTGATTTTTCTGTAAATTTTATCATTTTCTCCAAATGCTCCCCCCCCTGCCAAAAAGCTCCCAGTCACTGTGCCTCTATTTTATATTAATCTTTCAACCTTTGTATAGGCTTTATTATTCATCTCCTAATTTGTACTGCCCTCATTTTTGGGGGGAGGGTCTTCTCAAGAGACTATAAAAATATTCATTCTTATGAAATTCATTCTTGTGAAATTCAACTCAGTCTTGTGAGACTACAAAAATATTCAAGTCTTGTGAGTGAAGACTTCGGTTCAGCTCTTGAAGCTCATGGTCACGGCATTCATTAGTGCTCTTCCCTTATGACTCTAAGTAATAAAAAATGCTTTGGTTAAATAAGAAAGATGCCGAGTTCTGAATCCATCCTTCAATACTAAGTTACTAAGAACTGCTATTGCACCAGGGGAAGGAATTTTCCATGCCTTCCAGAACAATAAAAGTCATGCTATTATGCACATATATTATATAACAAAGTCATGGCTACTTTCAAAGTTTGCAAAGAACTTTATATACATCTTCTCAGAAATGATACTTCTGTAGCAAAAGGAGACCCACCCACCCATATTTTAAAGGAAACTGAATTTCCCTAGTGGCCCAAGACATTTGGATATGGCCTTGGTTTCTGCATCTTCCTACTACAAATTCAGGTCTGCCTTTGTCAGAGTCCAGAAGAAGTCATAAGTTATCTTGAATTACCTTGAGTACCTCAAGCTACCAAAAGTGCAGCCTTTTTGTTTTCAGATACTGTGCAAATGAAACAGTTGCTTCAGGATTAACTGAATTTTCGTTTTATAAACCACACACTAATCATTTTTGTTTTGTAATTCTTTTTCTTTATTCCCTTTTCTAGGTTAGGAACTAAAACAAAACAAACAAAAAAACAAACAAAATAAGGCCAAAGGTCATGCAGAGCCCTAAAGCAAAGTACACCAGCTGCTTGCTCTTCAATTCTTCACATGTAAAAGTTAAAACATTCAAATGAATTTATCATTAACTTTTTTTTTTCCGGTACCTAACTTCCTGAAGACTTTTTCTTCACACTTCACACACACAACATTGATATCAGGAAAGAACAAATAATTTTTAAAAATAAAACATGTTTTTATAAAACAGAAAAAAAAACAAATAGAGCCTCTAGCATTGAAGCAATGTGTAAAGCTTTAAAAATCTAAATAAAACTTCTTTAAAAAGAAAAAAAAAATAGTGTCTAAAAATGACCACTGGAGAACCCTCTTCATAAAAATTCCTCCAAGTTTTCAAGCTGATCTTAAAGCTTTTAGTGTGTCCATGATCACTAATTGTCATCACTCCAAGAACTATGTATGTAACTTTAGGCAAATCGCTTGAAAAAAAAATCTCTGTGCTTCAGTTTCCTCATTTGTGAAACAGACCAGGTCTTTATAGTCTTTTCAGTTCTAATTCTACAAGTCTATGAATTTCCTTCTAGCAAGAGTTGGGGGGAAAATTAGGATAAGGCCAGCTTTCTCAGCCTAATTCAAGTCCATAGTCTATAGAAGATTGGCAACACATACATTTTTAATCATCTATTTTTAGTGAAATAAAAAAATTTCTGTGGGAGGTCTACTGTCTGAACCTGATCACTCGGTCCCCCAGGGGAGTCTTCTTTACAATTCTAAAAGATGTGATTTTCAGAAGCTCTTAAGAAATGTGATATCTTTAAGATATTTCTTACATTAGCAGCAAAAACCATTAAAAATGACTCTAACTTTGGTCTTTCAATCACAGTTTAAAAAACAAACAACAGTTTTTATAAGCGGTGGTTTTTTTTACAGGGCCAAAGTTAAAATCCCAAGTTTCTACAAATCAAATCTTTGGTGGAACAGTAACAGCTTATATTTATGTCCAGTAATGCCCTGGGAGGAGTGGGGTTGGGGAGGAACAATGAAGGAATGGGCTATGAGCAACATCTATCTGATCAAATAGATGTGTATCTATAAGAGATACATACGTGTATGTATCTTTTATTTATTGTTGTTGTTATTCTTGTTTCCAATGAGAAATGCTTTGTGGCCTCTGGCTCATCAAATGCAATAAAAAATGGATAATGTTGCCTGTATCTATTACCCTAAGCTTCTTCTATCCCACACCCCCTTTGCCATGGTCCTGACCTGTGATAGGAAGCTGGCTGTCACAAGGGAAGAGAGGGAAGGTTATCTATTCCTTATCACTAGGGGAATGCCTTTTCTGCTCCTCAGATGTATAAGCAGTGCCTTTATGCTCCCTTAGGTAAGTCCCCAGGTGGCAATGGGTATGGCCCACAGACACAGAGGCAGACGGCTGCCACAGTAGCCTGGGACATAGTTCCACTGGAAAAGATGGCCTGTTCGGGATAGTCCATTACGGGCAGAAGAACCTTTTCCAGAATGTTCTCTTTTGTGCTCAGGAGTACTCCCTGGGACAGAGGAAAATACTACAGGGAGAGGGGACAAATGAGATAGATTGTGCCCTTTGTGCCCAGAAGGGAATTTACCATCATATTCTCCCACGCACCTAAGTCAGGATAAGCCCAAATCACTAAGTGACAAAAATTTGAAACTTCTGCAATGAGTGGTTGCAGAAACTTTGGTCTGTAACTATTTAAACTCGCATGTATGCATTCATCAAAAACACCATGACAATTTCTCATGGGACTAGAATCCACTCTGATCAATTTCCTGACATCGTATGCATTAATGCCCCATGAACATGGCCCGGATTGTAACATCACCTTGGAGAATGGCAAACTCATAAAAAAAAAAAAATCAACCAAACGCCTAATGCATCAGAATATTCCCAATCAAAAAATCTCAGTCACATCACGAATGGATGAGTTAAGAAATTTCAAAACTAGATTGTAAGTGCTCTCAGGGATTTTGCCATAACTTTAGCCCGGTAGTAAATGTGCCCTCTTACCTGCTCACACATTATACATGTATACGTCTTCTTGTAGGTCATTTATACTTACATATTAAAATTAATCTTTCAGTGGATGGGCCTTTTCCATTTATTATCTATAGAAAGTTCATTCTCAAATGAAATACATTTACCCCCAAACCCCTCTCCACCCCCCCACCCCCACCCCATAGAGATTGCATGTACTCTAATGTCACATGAAAACAAAAACTCTTAACTATGTACAAAATCCAGTGTAAACCATACTAACACATTAATAATGTTTTCTCTAATAACTGTGGTTAAAAGTCAACTTTAAAGAAAGAGTATAATCCCAAAGGATTAGTGGATTATCCAAGCTTGGGAGGAATGAAGCCTGTGTCCCTACCAGAAAGACCATCTGTGCAAAAGAGGAACAAAGGCATTTAATGAGTAGGAGTGAGATGGAAGGGTGTATTTTAGACCTTTAAGTAGTCAACTGATTTATAAATAAGTTATTTGCAAAAGGGAACCAGATTTACATAAAATTCATTAGAGGAGACTGTCAAGTTTTCCTTCATAAAAGGTCTTCTGGTATAAAGAGCCACTTCCAGAGGAAGATTATGCTTTCCCAGAATCCTTTGGTAGTTTGGGACCTTGGCAGCCATCTGGGTGGAACAGAAGGCTGGTTAGTCCAGTTTGGGAAACAGATTCATATCTTCTCTACTGATAGAGATTAGTCAAGCTCATCAAAATTCATCACTTGACTTCTCCCGGGCAAGAAGCACCACGGCCTGGTGATCACCCGGGAGAAGTCAGAAAGTGCTTACTGATCCCGAGTGATGGCAGTTGGTGCCCTCTCTGGGATGCATCTCTCTTCATAGGTTTTGCTTCAGCCATTTGATATAGCTGTCCCTAGTCCGAACTCCCACTGAGAAATTGGTGGGCCAGGAAGTGAAAATCATGCAGCCGTGGAAGGCATCCTCAAAGTGGTCATGCGTCACATCCACACCAGCATTCTCCAAGCGCTTGACATACATAATACCATCATCCCTGAGGACATCATGTTCACAGGTCAAGATATAGGTCTTTGGCAGGTTCTGAAGAACCTCCTGGTCAGCGATCAGCGGGGCTGAACGCGCATCCAGGAGCTGGGGGAGCTCTTGGACAATCTGAGCATTGCCCACCGTCTGCACGACAGGTTTGTAATCCTTGGTGATGGATGCGGGCAAGAGGGAAAGCCAGTTGAGCCGGGCCCTGAGAGCGGTGGCCTGCTCCACATCCAAGGCGGTATGGTTGTTGACCACCATGGCCTGGACAAAATCCTGGTTCCCTCTTAAATAGTCGATCCAGTATCTGACCATGACGAGACGGGGCAGGATTGGGGAGTTCACATTCTGCTGGTAGGATGGGGTGTTGAAGTCAAGAGCTTGGAGGACTGGGTAGACCAAAGCTTGGAGCTTGATTTTATTCCTGAAGGTGTCATCTTTGCTAAACTGTGAGGGAAGAACAGAATGGGATCTTGTCTGACATCATTCACATACATCATACCCTGATGATAATTTAAAATATAATTAAATGTAATATAATTAAAACATCATTTAAAAGGAAGTTCCTTGTGGAGGTGGGGGACTATGGGTACAGAATACTGAAGAGACTGACAGGCTCGGTTGATGCATTGGCTGGTTTTGCTGAACTGCCTTTTTGCCCTCTTCTTTTTCAATACTCACCCTTAAGAAGCATGAAAAAAGTAAGAGAGGGGAAAGGTAATAAAGCAGAAAACTGTTCAGTACAATTCAGTGTACTTACAGAGTAAGAGGATCCTAGTGCAAATCATGCTTCTTCAAATACTACCTAAGCATCCTTGGCCAAGACACTTAAATTTTTCTCATCTGTAAAATGAAGGGATCAACTGGGGAATGGCTGAACAAGTTGTGGTATATGAATGTAATGGAATACTATTGTGCTATAAGAAATGATTAGCAAGTGGACTTCAGTAAAACCTGGAAAAACTTGTATGGATTAATGCTGAGTGAAGTGAGCAGAACCAGGAGAACGTCGTACACAGTAACAGCCATGTTGTGTGATGACTAATACTGATAGACTTAACCCTTCTCAGCAATACGAGGATCTAAGACATCTCCAAAGGTCTCGTGGTGGAAAATGCTATCCATATTCAAAGAAAGAACTACGGAGTTCGAAGGCAGATTGAAGCACACTATTTGCTATTTTTTTTTCTCTTCTGTTGTGTTTTGTTTCCTCTTTCTGGTGGTTCCTCCTATTGGTTCTAATTCTTACTTACAACATGACTAATGTGAAAATATGTTTAATAGGAATGTATATGTATAGCCTATATCAGATCTGAGGGAGGTGGGGAGGGAGGGAGAGAAAAATTTAAAACTCAAAAGCTTATGGAAGTGATTGTTGATAATTCAAAATAAATTAATTAAAAAAAAACAAAAAAAAATGAAGGGGATGGAACAGATAGCAACTGAAGTCCCCTCCAGTTTCCTTATAGGAAACTGAAGCAGACAGTTAAGTGACTTGGACAGGATCATGCAGCTAGTAAGTCTGAGGTGGGATTTTAACTCAGCTCTTCCTGGTTCTCGGGTCAGCACTCTATTATAATAATAGCTGTATATAATATATATAATATATCTTCTATATAATAGCTGTCTCTATTCCTCTAGGTTACACTCTATTCATTTAGAATGTCCTTTTTTTTTGTATTTTGGAGGCAATGGGAGTTGAGTGACTTGCCCAGGGTCACACAGCTAGCTAGTAAGTGTCTGAGGCCGAATTTGAACTCAGGTCCCTCTGACTCCAGGGCCAGTGCTCTATCCACTGCACCATGTAGCTGGCCCAGAATGTTGTTGTTGTTGTTCTTCTTTTTTTTTTTAACAAAGAAGTCATGGCATCTTAGATTTGGAGCTGGAAAGGATCTAGTTTGACCTCATTTTACAGATGAGGAAATTGAGGCCTATAGGATAACTTGCCTAAGGGAATATAGATAATAAAAATCTGTGGTGGGATCTGGCTACAGAGCTAGTGCTCCTGGGTCTGATCCATAGGGCCTCCTGAAATAGTCTTCTAAGACTACTCTCTAGGTCATGGAGACAGCACCTTGGACAGATCCTTCCAACCCTACCAACTCGCAAGGAACCTGCTGTTGCCATGAAAGCCACGAAACAGAACAGCGGAGCAAAATAAAAAAGCAGACATTCCTTCTTGGCCATGTTACCTGCTGACCCAGAGCTGCAGCCAAATTTCCGCCGGCACTGTCTCCAGAAATGGCTATTCTCGCTGGGTCGACAGAATACCTCTCTAGGACCTGAGGCTGCAGGAAGTACTTGGCAGCACGTTCTAGATCATAGAGTTGCTCAGGAAAATGAACCCGTGGGACCAGTCTGTATCTGTGGAGACAAAAGACCTATATATTTAAAGATCATGGCAGCTCTGCTCCTGAAAGTGACTGGTGTGCAGACAGAAGACAGGGAAGGCTCATTTTGAAACCAATCAATGACCAACTGGAGATGGGAAAGTTTGTAGTCCAAAAAAACTGCTTTGCTTTGGGGAGGGGTGGGGTGCCTAGCCTCTCTGGTGAGACGCTGCCTTCTCTTCTAGATACATTCACATACAACTTCCCCGACCTTTTCTGAAAATGACCATACTCTTTCCACCTAGAAACTTACATGGTCCATGCCCATCCAACTGGGGCCTCACCGACCAATTTCCAACATGTCCCTGCTGTTACTTTCAGCGAAGGGAAACCAGACAGCCTGCACAAGACCCCTGCTTTTCCCTATAAAACCCATAGCCCTGGCTGAAATTGAGAGGCTTTTGCCCAGCCTATATCATTAAGCTCTTTTGCTTGGATTATCCTGGCATTACCCTTTCCAGGCCTGATTTGAAGATACCGGCTGCTGCCCTCACATATAGATATATAGATATATAGATATACAGATATATAGATATATGTATATGTATATTAATCTGCTTCTGAAGTCTTCCTTTGTGTAAGTTCAATGCAACATAAGGAAGGCCTAAGCTTTTAAGTTAGGGGTTCTTAAACGGGGATCCATGAACTTGTTTTTTAAATATGTTGATAACTATTTTAATAGAATTGGTCTCCTTTGTAATCCTGTATATTTTATTTTATGCATTTAAAAGCATCATTCTGAGACGGAAGTCCATAGGTTTCACAAGTCTGCAAAAGGGGTACATGATGCAAAAAATAAAAAGGTAAAGAACTCCTGCTTTAACCACTTCCTGGCCAATCTGATTCATTTGGGAAATGTCCTCCAAATCTAGAATGATAATGAGTTATGACAAAAAGCATAAACCCAAACAACTTCTTTTTCAGTACATCAAAACTTTGGGATCACAGATTGAGAGCTGGACAGACTTTGGAGATCATCTAGTCCCCCCCCCTTATTTTGTAGGCCAAAGAAACTGATACCCACAAATGGGAAGAGAGTTGCTCAAGGGTGACATGGACAGGAAGACTTCCATTACTCATGAAGAATGCATTAACACATTATTGGAATTAATTTTCAGAAACCAGTATTTATTTAGAGAATTTCTTGATTAGGGAATTTCCTAGCCTTACTGACAACTTCATGCATTTTGAAACTGTCAGAGAAAATAATTGAATTACTCTGTTGTGCTTAGCCATGATTAGATCTACTGGAAGCAATTTTTTTTTATTAGAAAGTCTAATGACCTAGAATTACCATTGTTATTTCTCATAATTTCCTCTAACTAAATGTATCATATTTTAGTCTATCTAAAGTGATCTCTGTTCTATCCTGATCCTTAACCCAGAAAATCGGCAATTTCACCATCAGACCAGTTCAACAAGCTCAAGACATAACTGTCATCCTGGTAAGTGGGACAAGAGCATCAGGATTCAAAGCTATTTAAGAGGAAGACTAACATTCCAGCAGCATTTTACCTTAGAGACATTGATAGAATGTCAGAGCTGGGAAGGACCTTACACAGCATGAAATCCCACTCCCTTCACACTATAGACAAAGATGCTGACACCATCCCCATGAATTTCACTGACTTGAAAAAACTACAAACTTTGGGGCAATAATGATAGGAAATCTGAGTCTTAGAATCAGAAGAATTTTTAGATTGGAGGGAAAGCCCCACAACACTTTTATTTTACCAAAGGAAAATTAGAAATGGAAACTCACAGAGGCTGACTGACTCTACCAAGACCACACACACACACACACACACACACACACACACACACACATCCTCATTCATGGTACATCAGGGCTAAAACCCCAGAGATCTTCTGGTTACCATCTTCTAGGTAGTATATCCCCAAAACAAGCCAATCATTTCCACAATGATTATGAAAAATCATTATCCTCCATCCCCAGATCCAACGTGCAAATCAGATATCAAGATGTGGAACTAGAATACAATCAAAGAAAACAAGTAATTGTTTGCTAAAAGGAATGGATAAAGGAAATAACATGGATGTGGCCACCTTTGAACTAGGGTGTTTTGGGGGAAAAAAAGTCCAAAAGGAAACCCCTTCAATGACTGTTTTTCAAGTGTCCTGACCTTCTTCTTCTCTCGGTTCTTAGTGACCACTTAACACTCATCAAAATACAATTAGGCACTCAGGGCTAAAGGAGTACTGATCTAGCCCAACTCATACTCGAATGGGAATGTCTTCTACACCATCCCTGACAACTGGTCATCCAGCGTTAGCTTGGAAACTGCCAATGTGAAGGGGATGGGGGCGGGACGTGGCCACTAGCTTTGGCCATAGCCATTCTATTTGGGATCACTCTAAGAACTGGGAAGTTTTTCCTAATATCAAACAACAAACTGCTTCTCAGGGTGTTTTAAACTGAAACATAAAGCACTAGAACACGTCTCTGGGCCTCAGTTTCCTCATCTGTAAGATGAGGATAATAATAGCCTCTACTTCACAGAATTGAAATAATATATATAAAGCGTTTTGCAAACCTCAAAGTCAGTCAGCAAGTACTTACTAAGCACCTACTATGTGCCAGGAATCGTGTTAAGTGCTAGGGATATAAAGAAAGACAAAAACCAGTTCCTGTTCTCCAGGAGCTCACACGGGGAAGACTACGCGCAAACAATTGTGGAAAGCACTTGATAAATGCTAGCTATTATTATCACGTGAGTAGCAGGCATTTGGGACGCCCTCGCCTCCTTCTCACTTTCACTGGTGACCAATTAACCCTCTTCAAAATACACTGTTTAAATGGGAGGCAAGCAGTGTGAAAATGCCACATCAAAGCCACTAGGTGGCGCCATTGTACATGATGAATTAGATTTGCCCCCAGTCCTTTGAAACGCATGGGGCACTTCAGTGGTGAATTCCCAATCCTCCACCTGATAAATAACCACCCAAGTCACATCTAGGAAATACACGCTTGTTGGATCATCAGAAATATTTATCAATACCTTTTTGTCTCCTGATTTAAACACCCTTGTTTCTCTCCTCCGGGAACGGCAAACCCAATCATCCTAAGGCTAAATGTTCTGGAAATAGATTCAGTGGTTTTAAATTGTGGATGACAGAAGAATGAGAAGAAACGAAAGACCCATTTACTTTCTCAGATTCCATTCAACTCTTAATTAGAGTCCAGGTTTCCTGAGAAAGGCCAGCTTCAACTCAGAACAGTTTTGAAATCTAAGAAGCTTCCCACGCTGTGAAGGGGCCACAACCTTCCCTTTGCACACCTTCTCTCAAACTCTTACTAAGTGACAGGGCCTGTTCATTATCTTTCTACTTAGGTGGCAGATGGGGGTAGCCAGTGAAACCAGATGCTTCTCAGCTCCCAGGGAATGAAGTGAACCAAGTATCCAAAAGTGTCGGAAATGACTGGAAAGATAAGGCAACCTCACCTTGACAGTTGTAGGGAAGGACCCGAAGGCTGAGATACCTAACAAGAAAACATTATGGAGACAGTATCAAAACAGAGCAGTCAAAGCGGCTGTTTTGTAATTCGTCCTGAGGGCTGTGCTCCTGCAGGCAGCCAGGAGAATTCTGCCAGGCCATTGTCTAGAAATAAAGCTACAATCTGCTGCAAGAAATCACATTTTTGGGACTGGAAGGTACCCAACAGGCCATCTACTCCAGCCCCCACATTTTACAGAGGAGGCTAGTGAGGCCAAGAGAAGAGAAATGATTTTCCCAAGGTCACAAGGGCACCAAGAATCCAGGGATTAACCGGCTCTCTGGACAGGGGATGAGGAAAAGACTTATTTGGAAATCAATGTAATGGAAAAAATACAAGTTATTGATAAAAATTGAAAATAAAGCTACTGTGAGAAGAGAGAAACAATCCTGCTGTTCTAGTCAGCTGCCTGCCTTTGATTATTGGGCATGCTTCCTTCCAAACAAGAAAAACAATGTCTAGAACTAATGCAAAATCCTCAGCCGAATCTCCAGCCCACCAGAGTCTGCCTCCTGCTGTCCTTCACACTTCTTCACACATTCTCCGTCCCAGTTAAAGTGGTCTGCTAGCCATTTGCTAGACATGAATTCTATTTCCTGCCTGTGCCTTTGCCTAAAAGCCAGCATTAGCATTACAATAGCTAGCATTTATATAGTATTCTGATTTACAGAAACCCTAGTGGCTTCCTTCATATATGTAAGTAGTGAGATATGTATATATGTGTGCATTTCTTTAAGGTTTGTAAAACATTTTATAAATATTATTTCATTTTATCCTTACAACCAATGGGGAGGGAGAGGTAGATGCCATTATTCTCATTTTTACAGAAAAGAAAATTGAAGTAAACAGGGTTAAGCGACTTGCCCAGGGTGACATAGCTAGTATAAGGCTGGATTTGAACTCAGCTCTTCCTGACTCCAGGCCCAGAGCTCTAGTCACTGTGCCACCTAGCTGCCTCACTTCCAAGATGCTGCCTTCTCACTTTTGATTTACAGAAACCCTAGTAGCTTTCTTCAAGCATACCTGAGGTACCACCTCCCCCATAAGACCTATCCTGACTCCCCAGCTGTCAATACCAGTCTGCCCCCTGATGTTACTTTGCCTAACTTTGATTAGGCTTTGTACTTACTTATTTGTAGAACACTTGGATCTCCTCAGTTGAATATATGCCCCTTGAGGGCAGGGCCTATGGCTGTATGATTTCATTGGTATAGGCACCTTCTCCACAACTTATCCTTGCCTAAAATAGTGGTTTTCAACATCTGGTCTGGAGACCCCAGAGGGCTCCCGGATCCTTTCAGGGAGTCGGCAAGGTCAAAACTGTTTTAACAATAATACTAATACTAAGATATTTTAATTTCTGATATGGCAAATATCAATAGATATCATGTAACCCACATAAACAAAAGCTCTTTGGGGGGCATGGAGGCTTCAATAATTTTTTAGAGAATAAAAGGGGTTTTGAAACCAAAAAGTTTGAGAACCACTGGTCTGGAGCACCAAGATATTAGGTGACTTGTCCAGGGTCACACAGTCAGTTTGCATTATAGGTGGGGTCTTCCTGGCTTGCACGCTAAGGCTCTAACACAATTCCACTCCTCTTGGAAAAAAGTAGGTGCTCAGTAAATGTTTGCTCAATTGAATTGTATTAAAACTAAACCTAAGGCTTAGCCAGTGAAACAGATTTGTATGTTCATGAGCAGTAATTCCTGATTCAAATTATTGTCCAATAATTCTCAAAACTCTTCATTCATTGCAGATTGAAGCGTACTTTTTATTTACTTTATTTTTCTTGAAGATTTTTTGTCTATGTTTTCTTTCGCAACATGACTAGCATGGAAATATGATTTGCATGACTGAACATGTATGACCTACATCAAATTACTTGCTCTCTCAATGAGGGGAGAAGGAAGGGAGGAAGGGAGAGAATTTGGAACTCAAAAATTTTTAAAAACAAATGTCAAAAATTGTTTATACATGTAATTGGGGAAAAAATAAAAATGTTGTTTAAAAAACCCTATTAAGTCATTTTATTTTTTTTTCAATATGTGCAATGCAACAGTTGTAGGTTAAAAAACAGCGAAAAGAAATATTGCTTTAAAAAAATCAGAAGAAAAGAAACGTGCACAAATTATGTGCTTAAAAAAATCCAGCCCAACCCATTGGTGAATAACAGATGTGAAATGTGGCTTGACAAGGAGAGGGTGGGCAATTAAAGACACTAGACATTAAATTAGGCTGCAAATGAGAGAACAAAAAGCTTGAGAAAGAGATAAAGGTGCCCGGCATAAGGAAAAGAAAAATACCGCAGTAGAATGAGGCATTTGCCACATCGTTGCTACAGAATAAAGAGCTGGGATTTTCTAGGCTCCAGCTCATTTGAAGAAAAAAGGTCAGCACCACCCCTGAGATGACCAGAGCCTGGCTGCCTCCCTCTTTTCTTTAAAAAAAAAATTGTTACAAAGAGGTTCAGAAAAAAGAAAAAAGGAACAAACTAGTAAGTTTTCTTCAAAGTTATTTTATTTATAACCTTGTGCAAAAATAATCAGAGCCTGAATCATGAAATGGAACTAGGGAAGTGTAGGGTTTCCTAGACCTTGTAGGTTGGGCCCTCCCCAGCCATTCTCATGGGAATTTGAAAAGGAATCAGCATAGCATGCAATGAATTTTGCAGTTCAAAATGCAAACAAAATGCCTTGCAATTTCAGGATCCTTCCTCGAAATCCTAGGGTCAGTCATTTTCCATTGGACCATTCCAATTTTTGAAAGAGGGGACCTTCAGTGGCTCTCACTTGCCTTTAGACCAGCCATTCTTAAAACTGGGGTCTGTAATCTAGTTTCATTGTTTTACAAACTGCATTTCTATATAATTGGTTTCCTTAGTAACCTTATATATTTTATCTTATGCACTTAAAATCATCATTCTAGGAAGGACTCTAAAGGTATCTCCAGACTGCCAGCACTTAGCAAAGGGCCTGGCACTTAGCAAACGCTTAACAAATGATGGTTAATTGACTGATTGATTAAAAGGGCCTAGGACACAAAATAGGTTAAGAATCCCTGGATGAGGTTAAAAATACAATTTGGCTTTTAAAATCCTTCTGAATATGGCTCTGGATTCTTCTTTCATTTGTTTTTTAACTTTATTTTAAATTTCCTCACATGTGAAATGAGCAGGCTTTGCTTACTAAACTCCCTTCCAACTCTAGCTGTATGATGAGGAGAGAAATTTGAAGGTGTGTAAGAAGCTCATACTCTGTGACCTTTGGGGGTCCCTTGACTTCTCTTTGGGCCCTTTTTTCCTCATGACAAAAATTGTTAATACCAAATGTAATATGGCCTGCCACTCCCTTAAATGATCCTTGTAATGTCAGAATTTCAGTAATGTCCTTACATTTCTACCCTTAAGATATTTACTCTTGATTAGGTTGAGATGAAAGTCCCCCCCACCCAGAGATTTTACCTTGTAAAGGAACCTAGCTGAAGCTGGATCTCAGCTTCTAATAATCCATTAGGATTCATGGAATGAAGAGCAAGACAGCCAGAATGAAGTGGATTTCCTCGCCCAGACTGCCAAGGGTCACTGGAGTCTTGTGACCAGGCCTTGCTACCTCATGCGGCTTCCTCCTCCTATTCTCCTAAAGGAATAAACAGCTTTTGCATGGGTCTTGGAGTTGGGAGATCCATTGTGTTCTGTACTCCTGGGAACTCCCTAGGGTGGCAGGTTTGCTACCATGTTATCTCAGTTAAAGACAATTTATTCCTGAATTCATAGCTTTATTTCAGGACTTGACACTCATGTAAGCTGACAGGGGGCAGGATTGGACTGAATGATCTCTAAGAATCCTCCCAGCTCTAAAACACCCCACTTATCCCATGAGAAATACTTACTCTACTGAGACAATGACAGCGTTCAGTTCCTCTGCCATTGTCGAACAGAGTTCATCGTAATAACTAATTCCTGGAAGAGACAGAATGATTGGTGTGAGATCGACCATATTTTAAGGCATCAACTGTTCTTAAATCATAATAAGCATAGGTGCTTCTGGGACTGGCCTTGGACTTTTATCACCTCAACACAATCTCACCAAAAATGCCAAGATTAAATCTTTGCACAGTGGTTAGAACACAGTAAGTGCTTATTAAATGTTTGTTGACTGACTTGTCGGTTGACCTAAATATCTGAAATGAAAGAAATCATCCCAAGCAAGATGTAAAATCCAGGGGTTCGACTCTTCTTTTAGTAGAAATAGAATTCAGTAGGAGGAAGTCAAGTGTTTCTTTTAGGAGGCTGGGAAGGAGGACGGCTTAACCGGCTACAGATCTGCACTCAACCCCGGCTCAAGCTCTGTCCCTCATACATTTGGCCTCTGTCAGAGCCAATGAGTTTGTTTTGGGTTTTTTGGTACACCATCCGTCTTTGTGTCCCACCTCCCACTCAGTCAGACCTTCTGGCTAGCTGCCTTTGCACTGGCCGTCCACCGTGCCTAGAATGCATCTTCATCTTCATCACTCACATTTATATGGCACTCACCATGTGCTAGGGCTAGGCACTGTGTTAAGATGCAGCCTGCAAGAAGGCTTGTCTGATCCATCTCTACCCTTTCACACTAGTTTATGGTGAACTGTTTTCTACATGTTGAAATTGATTCACTTTTTTTTTTTTAAGGCAATCAGGGTTAAGTGATTTGCCCAGGGTCACACAGCTAGTAAGTGTCTGAGGCCAGATTTGAACTCAGGTCCTCCTGACTCCAGGGCTGGTGCTCTATCCACTGCGCCATCTAGCTTCTCCTTGATTCACTTTTCATTGATTCTGTATTTATTTACATGGATACTTATTATCTTGTTCAACAGAATGCAAACTCCTTTCAAGTAGGAATCATTTCATTCTTTGTACTTGTATTCCCAGCACCTCAAACAGTGCTTGGCAAAAAGTCAGATCTTAACAAATACTTGATTACTTAGCCCCACCAATGCAAGGTCACATCCAGTCCTACTCAAGCCAAATGATCCTCATACTTAAGACCTTTTGCTCTCATTATTTCCTCCCCATCAAAACTTGCCAGTTCTGTATCATTCCCACAAAGCCCTGCTCCCTGCTAGCTAATCAAATAAAATAACGGGTATAAATTTGCTATCTCTACCCACATACAAGGTGTTTTCTGGAGAAAATACCTGAGACTGCCGGGGTAGTACTATGGGGGGGGGGGGGAAGGAGGGACAGCCTTCATTTAATGAACATGTACTATGTATACGCTTTTGCAATGCCACGGCCATGGAATAAGGTGTTGTAGAGATGGATGAAGACAGTATGGTCTTCAAGATCCTACTCCATGGGCAGCCAGCCTATCATAAGACTTGTCTCAGCTCTGAGCCAGGTGGAAATCCAACCCCATTCAGGACAAAACCCAGCTTCTATTCACCAGAGGAAGGGACTGAATCTTCCACTGTCTCCACCTTTTCCATCCTGATCTAGGCAACCATTTAACATTTTTAAAAAGTGTGTGTGTGTAAACACCTTGTATGTATGTATGTATGTATGTTATAAGGGCAGCTAGGTGGTGCAGTAGATAGAGCGCCAGTCCTGTGGTCAGGAAGACCTGAGTTCAAATCCAGCCTCAGACACTTACTAGCTGTACGACCCTGGGTTAGTCACTGTGAATCATTTCATCTCCCTAACTTCTGTAAAATCAGGGTATGTGTCCTACTCCTTAATTTCCTCTCTCTTAGGGCCAAAGGCATCAGTCCCTGAAAACAGAGATGGGGCTGCCTGGTACTTCCAACTCTGTTCTTCTCCAGCTGGATTTTTATGTCTTTCCCCATATCTGAAAGAAAAAAGAAGAGGGGCAGCTGGGGTGGGGTGGACAGTGAAATCAGAAAACCACAGAAACTCACAAGGCCATGGTCTCTTGGGTGTTGTCATCATCATTATCATCATCTCCCTAATGTTCAGATCTGATCACCTCATTCCCTTTTTTTTTTAATTTTTAGGCAATTGAGGTTAAGTGACTTGCCCAGGGTCACACAGCTAGTAAGTGTCAAGTGTTTGATCTGAGACCGGATTTGACAAGGTCCTCCTGACTTCAGGGCTGGTTAACCCTGATTGCTTCCCTCCACCAAAAAACAAAAAACCACATAAATAATTTTTTATCACTTATACATTTCCCAATGTGTCTCTCATCCCCACACGCCTCCCACCAGAAGGTCATCCTTTATGACAAAGCTTTCTTTTAGGAGGAGAAAAAAGTTCTGCAAAACTAACATATATTAAAAAAAAAGCCTGGTAGTACATACAGTACCCATAATCCCTCACCTCTGTAAAGGAGAAGGGAAAGGCTGGCAGGCATTTTAAACTATGACGGGGGGATGGGAAGTAAACACGTCTCAGTAGCCCAACCTCTCACCACTTCTGAATATTAGTCTTTTCTTTGACTACTTAAGTAAAGAGAGAAAAGAAAAGGATAGAAGAATGAAAGTTGGGAGTTTTTGTTTGTATATCCTCAGCACAGTATGTTATGCTTTTTTTTTTTTTGGTGGGTGGGCAGGACTGGACATCACCAGTGCGGGTCTGCAGTTGCTCTATAGCTCATCCTTCCAGGGAGATCTCCTTGTCCAGGGTCACATAGCCAACACGCATCCGAAGTGGGACCTGAAACCTGGACTTTATGACTCCAAGACCAGCCCTCTATAACACCATGCTGTATGAACACCAGATGCTTAATAATGAGCGTTGACTTAAGTTGACCACCCAACAACTTTTAGCACCAAAGCAAAACAGCTGCAAATTTTTAAAAGTTCAGTTGTGCTTCAAAATTGAGACTCATAAGAACCCTGTTGAGATGAGGACAGATAGCTATCTCCATTTTATAGATGAGGAAACAGGTACAGAGAGACAGAGGGACTTGTCCAAGGGAACAGTTACAGTGTCAGAGGAGGATTTAACTAGCATTCCATCTATGACCTGGACCTGCCTCAGCTTCCTGTGATTTTCTATTCTCTATATTCTCATCTAGGCAGGGGCTGAACAGCGGAGCTGAGAGCCAGTCAACCTCCAAGCTGAGAAGATCTGGGTTCAGGTCCTGGCTTGGACACATCCTATCATGGTGACTGTGGGTAAGTCCTTTAACTAACCTCTCTAGGCAACTCCCTAAGATTCCATGTTGCAACAAAGATGTCAACCAGCATTGGTAAGGAAATTTTCCTCACCTGAGGGAATGACCTATGTCAATGAAATCCTAGGTCCAGATCCCCTCCCTATCCTCTTCTATGAGCAACAGGGAGCCCCTGCAAGAGTTTAAGAAAGGGAATGAGAGGGGCAGCTAGGTGGCGCAGTGGATAGAGCACCAGCCCTGAAGTCAGGAGGAGCTGAGTTCAAATCTGGTCTCAGATCAAACACTTGACACTTACTAGCTGTGTGACCCTGGGCAAGTCACTTAACCTCAATTGCCTAAAAATTAAAAAAAAAAAGGGAATGAGGTGATCAGATCTGAACATTAGGGAGATGATGATAATGATGATGACAACACCCAAGAGACCATGGCCTTGTGAGTTTCTGTGGTTTTCTGATTTCACTGTCCACCCCACCCCAGCTGCCCCTCTTCTTTTTTCTTTCAGATATGGGGAAAGACATAAAAATCCAGCTGGAGAAGAACAGAGTTGGAAGTACCAGGCAGCCCCATCTCTGTTTTCAGGGACTGATGCCTTTGGCCCTAAGAGAGAGGAAATTAAGGAGTAGGACACATACCCTGATTTTACAGAAGTTAGGGAGATGAAATGATTCACAGCAGAGCATGAGACCTGAAATCACAAGACCTTGGTTCAAATCCCACCCCTGAAGGCCTTCTTCCAGCTCTGAGGGTTAGATTGCTCCCCTACCAAAATGCTGTGAGCCCCTTGTGAGCAGGGACCCTCTCTCTGTACCTCCAAAGCCCCTGCCCTGAACAGGCGTTTGTACAATATTTGTGGAGCCATACTGAATGAAAGACAACCGGAAGCCCAGGTTACATTGGGATGATCCCAGGTTTTTGCTGCTTAATGGACAGACAAGTTCTTGTATAACCAATCGCCATCTTAACGTGCTTATTGTAATTTGCACCTGATGCTGCAGACTTCAAGGTGCAGTCTATAGCTTAGCTTGGAGATTAGAGTAGGTGGGGGCTCAGACACAAGGCGGTTTCCATAAGATCCATGGAACAGATGGAGTCTTATGAGGCATTCCAGGAAAGGTTATCCTAGCAGCCCTCCTCTACCCCCACAGCCACTGGGCTGAGTCTGGAGCTCTAGGGCATAGATTTAGAGTTGGAAGGGACCCAAGAAGCCAGCCAGTTTACAAAAGCCCTTCGTTTACAAAAGGAAGGATGGAAAGGCATGAATCACAGACTGAAAACTAGAAGCGACTTCAGAATTCAATCCCCTCATTTTACACGTAAGAAAACTGAGACCCGGAGAAGCCAGGTGACTTGTCCAAGGTCACATAGATTAATCAGTGACGGGGACAGGATTTAAATCCCACTGAGTAAATTGCAGGAGTATTTCTCCTGTACCATGATACCCTGAAGGTTTAGGGTAGGCTTTTTTGGGGGGAAGGGGGAGGCTTTTGGAGGGAGATATGGGGGTAAATGTAGTTGTTAGATTTTTGTTTATTATAATTGGTTTTATTTGGGGGAAACGGTTTTTAGATACTATCAACAGGTTCACAATTATTATGCTCAGTGCGTGGAAAATACTTTGACACAGCTTATAGACTCTAGTTAAAAAACAAAAACAACAGTAACAACAACAAAAAAAACATTCAGACTAACAAAACACCATCCTTGGAAAAACCCCATCCAAAGCCATTAGGGGTTTTCCAAAACATACTTGCACTTGCCAGGGCCCATCCTCCTCCATGGATGTAAATAACTCCACTCTTCAATGGTTCTTTGGCCTTCGGGAAACCTTCAAAAACTCTAACTTCAACCCCATCAAACTCGGTGTCAGTGATCTGAACATTCGGAGATGACCATGCACTTTTCCTGCCGAAAGAAACGATGATGAAGTTCAGGGCGATGAGGTGATGGCTGAGGCCCACGTACTGGATCAGATGACTCTGAAAAGCAAGGCAGAAGATTAAGAAGTGCTCATATCTACTTCATCAGAAGCTCACCAACACTGGTGCTCACTGAATCCATATTTACTAAGCTAGAGTCGTGTCTATGGGAAGGAATAATGATGACAACTAGCATTTACATAGTGCTTTGAAGTTTGCAAAGCACTTACATATGTCATTTCATTTGGTCATCACAATAATCCTGTGAAGTGGGTGCTATTATTATCCCCATGTTACGAAAGGGATATGGAGGCTGAGGATTGTTAAGTGACTTGTCCGTGGTCACACAACTAAATAAGTGTATAAGGCAGGATTTGAACTCATAAATGTAACACATTCTATCCACTAACTTTAGGCAGACAGTGTCTACAAAGTGCACCCAAGTCTCACACACACATACACACACACACACACACACACACACACACACAATCTGATGCTTATAGCCAAAGGTATAGATAGTAATAGCATCCACTTATGTGGTGTGTTTCCATGCAGTATCTTATTTGAGGCTCACAACAGTCTTGTGGGATGGGAGCTATTGTCATCTTCTTTTTATGAGGTTCAGAGAAGTTAATTGACTCATCAAGGGTTATGCAGGTAGTGAGGCAGGATTCAAACTCAGGTCTTCCTGACTCCAAAGTCCAAGGGTCAATCCACAAGAGCACACTGCCCAAGGTGACACATACCCACCAACCAATGAACCAAAGGTAGGAAAAAAATATACATTGTTACACTGTAATGTCAATCACTACCTAATTATATAATATCAAACTTTTGATATTATATAAACAAAACTTAATAAATAAAACATTTAAACAAACATTACTAAGTCGAGTGCTATGCTGGGCAATGGGCTGAGTGCCTGGAATACAAAGATTTTTTTAAAATGACAAACAAATCTTTGCCCTTACAGAGCTTACAGTTGAATGGGGAAGGGGAGTGGTGGGGAGATGGGGAGGGGACAGGTGTGGGGGCATGCACAAATCAGTATGATACAATCAGTCTTTCAGTCAATAAGCATTTATTAATCACCTACCACGTACCAGGCACTGTGCGAAACCCTGGAGATACAAAGAAAGACAAAAGACGGCCCTTGCCCTCAAAGAGTTCTCAATCTAATGGGGAAGACAAGAAGCAAATATGTACAAAGAAGCTATATACAGGATAAACAGGAATTAACTAACAGAAGAAAGGCAATGGAATTAAGAGGGATTAAGAAAGGCTTCCTGTAGAAAGAGGAATACAAGAAAGAGGTATACAACGGATACAAGATCCAGATAAGGGCTATAGGAATGAGGGTATGGAAAGGTCCCTTCCACTTGGAAAGGTCAGAGAGGGCTTCTGGCCAGAAGTGACATCTCAGGTGGGTGTGAAAGGAAGGAATTGACTTCAGAAAGAGATGAGGGAGGACTCTGTCATCTAGGTGTTAATCTAAGCAAAGTTGTCCAGATAGAAGAGGGTAAGACAGGAAGGAAGGATGGAAAATAATCCAGCTTGGCCAAGATGGAGAAAGCATAACAAGGTTGAATTCACTGAAGTTTGGAAGACTGAGGAATGGAAAGAGGAGAAAATTTGCTTTTGCAACTTTTGGCCATGATTCTATTGACAAAATTATTGTTCAGAAATGGCAAACTACTGCATTAATGAGCATATTTTCGAAGTGAAGAAGGTCCTTTCAAAGCAGGAGACAGTCTACTTATTCACAAAAGGGTTGTGAATGGGGCCCTGGCAATTTCACATATGGGTGGTAGAAGAGGCTTTGGAGGAGATGGAAAAAATTTTGGCTGTAGTGGAAGCTCTGGTGGAAGAAATGGTTCACTGTGGTACAAGCAGAGGCAGTTATGGAGGTGGATATGGTGGACTTAATGGCTTGAATGGAGAAGGTGGTAACCATGGAGATGTTGGCTGGTTCCAAGAGTAGAGGGGGTGATGGTGCTGTTAGATGAGGATGTGGAAACAAAGAAGGGAGATATGTGTGGTGGGGGTGGACGCTGTAATGATAACAGTGAAGGAAGATATTTTGTAACTATGGTGACATTGGGAACTAGTGATTCAGAGATCCTAGCGGGCAGCAGCAACGAAATTATGGCCCCATGAAAGGAGCTGTCCGGGTAGGAGGAGCTCAGACTGTCCCCATTATTGTGGTTATGCACCTGGTGGTGAAAGCAGTGGCTGTGGGTAGCAGAAGTCTCTAAAAACTCACTCTTCTTTCACAACATGACTAATGAGGAAATTTAACATGATTGTATATGTATAACCTAGATCAGATTGTCTGCTGTCTTGGGGAAGGGGGAGGCAAGACAGGAAGGGAGAAAAATTTGGAACTCAAAATTTTACAAAAATGAATGTTGAAAACTATCTGTACATGTAATTGGAAAAAATTAAAATAATATTAAGGGAAAAAACTCATCACAAAAGGGCCACAGTTCTTTGAAAAAGAGTGGGTAAGGAGTCACAAGGAAAGTTACTGAGTACTTTGAGACAGTCATCCCAGTGCATTAGAGAAACTATAAAAATCGATCATAAAAGGAACAAGAATCTCTGGTCAGAAAAGTTACGGCTCAACCGCAACAACTCTGTTTAAACAAGCACGAGCTTAACGTTTTAAACTCCAGCTTTATTAGGAAATCCTTCTTGTTCATGACTATCATAGCAACTATTTGCAAAAAGGGCCACAAAGTCCCGTGAGCTCCAATTGTAGCTTCGTCTGGTCTTCTCTTTTCAAGAGACTGTACCTAGAGTCCTGTAAACTGAGGCGGTGGTACCAACAGTAAATAACAGTCAGGAATTTTTTGACTTTTCTATATTTCTGCAGTTCAGTTTTTCTGCACTCTAGTAGAGAAATTTTAACAAAATGTGGTTTTGAAGGTCTGTCAATGAATAGTTCATGTGCCGGGAGGCAGTGAGATGGAATGGGTACAGAGCTCATCTTGATGTCAGGAAGACCGCGACTCCACACCCGTCTCTGATACACGCTGGCTGTGAGATTGTGGGCAATGGATCCAGACAACTCTGTGAGGTGGGAAGCTGCACAGAAGGAGCTGATCTGTAATGGAAGGAGTTCCCACCAGGTCCGGTTAAAAAAAAATCATTAGTTGAAAATCAGAACTAACAAAGGAAAGTCTGAGCTACTTCGGATACTCTACCGCAGGACAAGCTGTGAAACAACAGGGCGTCTATGCAGCACACGTGCATGTAGTGTACAGAGGCAAGGAGGCCTCGTTGCTAGCTGTGTGACCCTGGCTGGCTCTTCAGCTTCCCCATTTTTTTTTAATGAGAGATTGAAGTTGTTGATCCCTCAGGGCCCTTCCCCACTTTAAACTCAACAGCTTCCCCCCCCCCCCCATATATACTCTCCATTGAAGGGGAAAAGACTGTGGGGTTTGCTTGTACGGGCACCCCCAGCACTCAGCACCAAGTCTGGCATATATACAGATAAAGCATTTATTAAGGTCTTACTTTCTATCATCCTGTATTTAGTCAATTGAGACCACATTTAACACTCTGAGGATGCTTACTTAATTATCAACTAAAACTGATGATGGGAGGTTGGTGATTTCCAAGTCTGGTTTTGCAATCAATTCCCTTGGGTATGGACCAAAACCCATCAAAGCAAAGCCTTAAGTTCCCTTTATAAAGTGACTAACTTGATGATTTTTTTTTTAAACTGCAATGTCTGGCACTTTTAGGGGAGGAAGGATGTTTTTTAAAAATCAAAGGATAATGAATTGAAACTTCACAAAGGCTTCTAATCACTGGTCTAAAACGTCCCTGCAGGAAGAACTATGTTTACCTTTCCCAGTTAAAAAAAAAGTTCATGAGAAAAGCTCTAGCAATAGGGGGTGGGAGCGAGAAGAGAAAGAGGAAAGAGAAGGTATAAATAATCAAGAGAAGATCACAAAAAGGAACTGATTCCCCTCTCTTCTCTCTGGGTCCCACATTAAGATCAGGTTGCTCCTTCCACTTTCCGAAGGCGAATGTCAAACCGAAAAAAGACTATGGCTAAATAAACCAGGAGACTAAGGTCTGCATTCTAGACTTCCCAGGGGTAGAGGAAGTAAAGAGATCAAAGAGACAAAAAAAAGGAAAAGGGAAATCAGCATTCAATAATTCAAAAACTTCTGGTGCAATGTGCCACACTTGGGAGTGTGCAATGGAGGTGTCTTTTCACATCTCTCCTTTTAAGCTGTGCTTGTTCTTTATCATTTCACAACATTCACTTTTGATTTGGGGGCAGCAATTCCTTGTGTTTACACTGTTGTGTAGTCATATTGCATATTATTTTCTTGGCTCTGCTCACTTACTCTTTATCATGTAAATCATTCCCCAAGATTCTCTGTATTCATCATAATAATTCTTTTTTCTTAAAGTATAGTGACATTTCATTTCATCCACGTGCCACAACTTATTTGCCGATTGAGGGGCACTGGCCATTCCCTATGCCTGGAATGCACTCCTCTCCTCACCTCCATCTCTCAGAAGGCTCAGCTTTCTTGATGTCCCCATTTACTTATGCCCTCCCTCCAAAATCATCTTGTATCTATTCAACATATTCCCTACTTAAGGACACATCTCTCTGATCATTATTAGCAAAGGGGAAGACAGAATCCATTAGTCTAACCAGCTAGCAGGTGTGATCAGCTCACTGTTCCCTCCAGATCACAGAACCTCAGAGTTGGACAGGACCCTAGAGGTCATCTGGTCCAATCCTGCAGGAATGCCCTTGACAACATACCCAACAAATGTTTATCCTGTCTTTGCTTGAAAACCTCCCATGAGAGAGAGATCACTACATCCCATTGGGAATGGCACCTATTTGTTAGAAAGATGTTTCCTTCATACCCTGGTCCCTTCCTGCCTTTCCAGACTTTTTACATCTTACTCCCTTCAATATACAGTAACTCTGGCCTCTTTGCTGCTCCTTGTACAAAACCCTCCATTCTCCTGACTCCCAACATTCCCACTGGCTGTCCCCCCTCCCCCCTTCTTACCATCAC